ACTTCAAAACCAGTTAAAGACACGTTAAAAGATCTTGCCTGGGAAGTATTAACCCACCCGCTGCATTCACCAGACCTTGCTCCTTCAGATTACCACTTGTTCCGATCGATGGCACACGCACTTTCTGAGCAGCACTTCAAAACATATGAAGAAGTGGACAATTGGGTCTCTGAATCGTTTGCCCCCAAACAAGAAAAGTTGTATTGGGACAGTATCCACAAATTACCTAAAGATGGGGGAAATGTGTAGCTAGCGATAGACATTACTTTGAATAAAGCACTTTTGATGTTTCTCTTGAAATTATCGTGTTTTCTTTGGTTACAAAATCTGCCATTATTAACGGGTATACCTAGTATAGTTGGTAAGGGGTTAATAACCAAAATATACAAATAAATCATTTTAACCCAACATAAAAACCAAACAAAAAAAACCAATCCAATTAAAAGATGGGCAGAGAACCTGAATAGACACTTCTCTAAAGATATACAGATGGCCAATAGATACATGAAAATATGCTCAACATCACTAATTATCAGGGAAATGCAAATCAAAACCACAATGAGATATCACCTCACACTGTCAGAATGGCTATTGATTAAAAAAATACCAAAACAAAGAACAAGTGTGGAGAAAAAGGAATCCTCATGCACTGCTGATGGGATTGTAAACTAGTGAAGCCACTATGAAGAAGTGTGGAGATTCCTCAAAAAATTAAAAATAGAATTACCATATGACTCAGCAATTCCACTCCTAGATATTTATCCAAAGAAAAAAAAATTAATTTGAAATGATATATGCACCCTTATGTTTGCTGCACCATTGTTTACAACAACCAAGTAGGGAAGCAACTGAAGTATCTTTTGAAAGATGAATAGATAAAGAAGATGTGGTGTATACATTTACAACGGAATAGTACTTAGCCATAAAAGGGAATGAAATCTTGCCATTTGGGACATAAATGGACCTAAAGTATTATGTTAAGTGAATTACGCTGGAGAGAGAAGGCAAGAATATTTGATTTCACCTATTTATGAAATCTTTAAAAAGAAGCAAACAAAGGAACAGAACAAAATAGAAACAAACTTATAAAGAAAACAAACTAATGAAACAGTGAGGTAGGGGAAGGGACTGAAAAGTGAAGAGGATTAAGAATTACCAATTTCCAGTTAGAAAATAAGGCATAGGGATGTAAGGTACAGTATAGGGAATAGTCAGTAATATTATAATTACTACGTACAGTAACACATGGGTTACTAGACTTACTGTGATGATCACTTTGTAAGGATATAAATGTTGAATCACTATGTAGTACACCTGAAACTAATATAATATTGTATATCAACTATAATTTTAAAAAACTAGCCACAACGTAGAAACAAAAAGGTAAAAATCATATTTAGATTTTACTGTCCACCAATTCTTAGAAAGTCAAGATGCAAATGAAGGATTCTCCAAGTTTTTGGTCTCAGAATCCCTTCATAGTATTAAAATTACTGAGACTCTAAAGAACTTTTGTTTACATAGGTTTTATCTACCGATATATAATAAACCCATTATGTTAACACAGACAAGATAGTTCAGGGGTAAAAGTGGCAGTGTTTTAGACGTCAGTGAATGAAATAGTCCGGCTTAATGAAAGAGCTGGGTTGTCGTAGCTGTTTCTGCCTTCATCTGTTGTTTCGGTTTTCAGGCGGAAGCATATGGAGGAAATGCAGCTTTCCCCAGAGGTGTAGCTGGGAAGGAGAGCGCTCTCAGACTCTGAGAGGGTCTCAGTGAGCCTGCAGGGTCCTCAGACCACACTGAACTGCTAATATAAACCACAGGCAATGGATTCTTTCTACAGTTTCTGACTAAAGGTTTTAATTTTTTCCTGCTAAGGCAAAAAGAAAATAAAAATCCAGAAACACTTCATTGAGGAATAATAAAGGATAGGCTATCATACTAAGTTAGTTGATAAAGTAAAAATATAATTGATATCTAATGTCTCTTACTATTTTAACACTGGAAATCTACCTCTAGGTAAGAAACAGGTCATATTTATAATAAATTATAATATTTTTATCATACTGCTAAGCCCTTCAATTTTGTGGTTCTGTTCTGTGCTGCAGGACACCAAGTTTTTCCTTTTCTTCTTTTCTCTTTCACTATCTAAGTGCTATCGGTCCCTTCCTTATTCCTTTCTATCTTTTTCTTTCCCAGGTGTGTTTAGAAGACTGTCCCTTTAAATCAGTTTGTTCTTTAAGTAAATCTGTCTCTAGAAATCATGTACTTGGCATTTTTATCGTGACTCTTTAAACTGAGTACTCAAAAGGGTACCAATCTCTTTGAATTCAGTTCCAGTGTCTTTTTATGGCATCAGGCCCACTAAGGGGATGCACTGCCCTGGCCAGTGTGGCTCAGTTCGTTGAGCACTGTCCAGTGCACCAAAAGGTTGCTGGTTCGATTCCTGGTTGGGGCACATGCCAGGGTTGCGGATCAATTTTTGATGGGGGGGGAGGGGGACGTGCAGGAGGCAGCAAATTGATATTCCGCTCTCACATCAATGTTTCTTTCTCTTACTTCCTCTCTCTCTAAAAATCTACTTCTCTATCAACAGACGAAGATGCACTTACTTTGAAATTTGTTCCCTGCAGTTTGTGGTCTAATCTCCATTTTTGTTTTAAAAATTATTTCAGATTTTGAGTGAATTGAATCTTTTTAGTGATTATTCCAACTCACCCATAGTCCCCTTCACTAGAGTTCTTCTGTCTTCCTCCAATTTCTTCCGTAGTCTGCCTTTACTTGCCTCAGTTTGCCTTTCTTGCCTGGCAGAATGGGGGTAGGACAGGTGTGTGGGATGGGGCTGGTGTTTGTTTTCTTTCACTCACAGTTATATTTCAGCTGGGGCATTCTGTCTTCAAGTAATACTGAAGTGTAGCTTTGGTAGAATTGTTCCCTTGATGTAAAGCTATTTCAGGTTATGTGGGAAGATTTTTGGAAAGTTGTTTATTACACAGCGTCCTTGGCCTGCAGCTACCCAGAAGTCCTAATACTATATTCTTAATTTTAAGAGATAGCTACCAAATTTTTAAAAGTCAGACTTTAGTGAGTGGCCTTTTACCTGAATGTTTCTTCCTGGAGCTGTTCTAATTGAGTTTGGAGCTGCAGATGCCTTCTTCCTGCTGGACTGTTAGGATCTTCTATAGAGTCAGACTGATTAAGTCTTTCCATTAATACCTGATTCTCTGCCAACAGGCTGCTCTTCTCCTCTTGCAATGCTGCAACCTGTTAGAGTAAAGGAAGACAGCAGTTATTTCTTCCACTGACACCGGCATTGCCATAATCACCTGTGAATTACCACGATACGTTAAAGCCTGTTTTTAAAAAAGTACAATAAAAAATAATAAAATACATAAAATAAATAAAAAGTACAATCAACCTCCACTTAAACCATTCAACATTATTTTTGGAATATTGCAGAAGTAGAGTAATATATTAAGAGTAAGCAAGAATTCATTATTTTATATCTGAAAAGACAGTTAAGCAAAGATATATAGAGGGCAATTAAGCACACAAAAAGATATTTATGATTAGTCATTAGGAAATGAAAATTAAAACCACAATGTTACACCAATACACTTTGACTACAATGGCTAAAATTAAAAAACTGGCTGTACCAGAGCGCGCAAATAGAAGCCTCATACACTTCTGGTGAGCATATAAAACAGTTTTTCATTTTCCTAAAAAATTAAACATGCAATTACCACATGACCCAGCCGTTCTACCCCTAGGTATTTACTTGAGAAACGGAACCACATGTCCATGCAAAGACTTATAAAAATGTTTATAGCATCTTCATGTGTAATAACGAAAAACTGGAAACAGCACAAATATTCATCAGCAAGTGAATGCATGAGTAAATTGTGGTATATCCATACAACTGAATACTATCTTAATTACAAAAAATTAACTATTGATACAGACAACATGAGTAAATCTCAAAATAATGAAAGAAGCCTGACCAAAAAAAAACCACACCACACAACAGTACGCACTGTATGATTTCTTTTATATTTTAGAAGATACAAGCTAATTTATAGGGACAGAAAGCAGTTTGGGACTGGAGGGGGATTACAAAGAGTCACGAGAAACTTGGAGGGTGATGGATTCACTATATTGATTGTGGTGATTTCACATGTTCATACATATGTTAACATCTATCAAACTTGTACATTTTATTTATTTTTTTAAATATATTTTATTCATTTTTTTACAGAGAGGAAGGGAGAGGGATACAGAGTTAGAAACATTATCAGCTGCCTCCTGCATGCCCCCTACTGGGGATGTGCCCACAACCAAAGTACATGCCCTTGGACCGGAATCGAACCCGGACCCTTCAGTCTGCAGGCCGACACTCTATCCACTGAGCCAAACCAGTTAGGGCAAACTTGTACATTTTAAATGTGAGTAGTTTGTTATATGTTGAGGCCCGGTACACGAATTGGTGCACAGGTGTGTGTGTGTGGGGGGGAATGTCCCGCAGCCTGGCTGACTATCGGGGCCATCTGGCCCAGTCCCGATCAGGGCCGATGGGGGCGGGCAGGCTGGGGAAAGGGACCGTGGGAGGTTGGCCAGCAGGTCATGGGTGAGGGACCGCAGGAGGTTGGCTTTGGGAGTACACTGACCACCTGTGCTGAGCTCCTGTGCTGAGCATCTGCCCGATGGTGGTCAGTGCACATCATAGTTACCGGCCATTCGGTCGTAATGTTCACTTAGGCTTATATATATATAGCTTATCTCTCAATAAAGCTGTAAAAACAAAAGTTGCCTGCCATTTCTAATTCTCCCTCTCCATCCCCCCTTGCCTTCTGAACTCGTTCTGGTTGGATACTGCCCCTACTTTTCCACCCGATCTGCTCACCCACTGACTTCCAGGTCACAGTGCTCTACCAAGAACACTTGACACAACCGATCACATCCTCCTCGTTAAAGTATTTTCTTTACTTGGCTTCCAGGACACCTTACTCCTGGTTTCTGTACCAACTCACTGGTCTACCTTCTCTTTCTTCTTTGTCTTAATTGCCCTGTCTTTAGAGTATCCTACAGCTTTTCTTTTCTGAACACAGTGATGGCTTCCAGTTTCATGGCTGTAAACACCATCTATTCACTGACAACTCACACATTTCTATTTCTAGCCTAAAACCCTGACCTGGATATCATGTCCACTTGGATGTCTAATAGGCATCTCTAATTTAAACTGTCCAAGCTGAACTCTTAATTACCCCCGGCCCAGTCCTTCCACAGCCTTTCCCACCTCAGTAAACGGTAACTCTATCCTTCCAATTGCTTAGTCATAAGCCTTAACATCTTTCCACCACATCCAATCTGCCAGCAAATATCATTGGCTCTACCGTCAAACACATTTGGACCACTAGCCCTGAATTCTGATGACCTAAGCCAACATAATTTTTTGCCTGGATTACTGCAATGACCACTCAATTAGTCAATTAGTCTCCTTGATTTGGCCCTATTTTCCCTATATTCTATTCTCCACACAGCAAAACAAGCACACTCCATTAAAACAAACAGATCACAGGACTACTTTGTGCAAAAGCCTCCAATGATTTCCCATTACTCAAAGTCAAAGTCTTTCCAAAAGCTTATAAGGCCTCTCCAGACAGATTTCCACACTCCCTTCCACTCCTGCCACCCTCACTGTCCTGCTGTTCCTGAATGTACCACCATGCTTCTACCTCAGGCCTGTGCTCAGCCTGTAATGCTCTTCCCTGAAAATCTAGGAGGCTTGCTCTCATAACCTCTTTAGGATATTACTACCATGTCACCTTCTCTGGTGCACCTGTATTGACTACTCATTTTAAAACTACTAACTCTTCCTATCCTGGATTCCCTATTCTACCTCTCCACTTTATTTTTCTCTAGAATACTTACCATCACTTAAAACTGCATTCTCTATTTATTGTCTGTCTTCCTTATTAGAATGTAAACACCTGGGGGCAGAAATACTTTATCTATTTTTTATACCCGCCCCCCTTCATTATATCTACAGTAACTTGAGCAGTGGATGGTACATAGTAGGTGCTCAGTAAAAGTCTACTGAATAAATGAATGAACCTGAAATGCCAGCTCTATGATTTATCAGCTTTCCATAAATCAGTATTTTAAAAAATTATTTTATTTTTTTATTGATTTTAGAGAGAGGAAGGGAGAGGAGAGGGAAAGGAAACAAGAGAGAATGAGAGAGAGAGAGAGAGAGAGAGAGAGAAACATTGATTGGTTGCCTCCCACGTGTGCCCTGACTGGAGATTGAAAACACAACCTGGATTTGTACAGTGACCAGGAATTTAACCACCACCTTTTGGTGTTCAGGATGATACTCCAACCAAATAAGCCACACTGCCAGGGTTGCGTCTTTTCTCAGAACAGAGTATGGCTCTATTCTATGCCATTGGTCTATTTCATTCATTTCTGCTCTTTCATTCTTCTTTCTTAAATAAATATTTATGGCTTAAAATCTTAAATTTTAAAAATTCATTTCTTTGCTACTAATTTCTAACTTTAATTGCATCTTTATCACAGAGCATAATCTAAAGACACAGATTTTTTTGAAATTTTATTAAGAACTGCTTCATAGCCTGGCTGGTGTGGCTCGGTGGTTGAGCACTGACCTCCTATGAACCAGGAGGTCACAGTTCAATTCCCAGAAAGGGCATATGCCTGTGTTGTGGGCTCGATCCCCAGTAGGTAGCATGTAGGAGGCAGCCAATTAATGATCCTCTCTCATCATTGATGTTTCTACCTCTCTCTCCCTCTCCCTTCCTCTCTGAAATCAATAAAAATATATATATATTTAAAAAAGAATTGCTTTATAACCTGGTATGTGGTCAGTTAATAAAGCTAAAACTTTAATGCTAGACTTATCAGACTAGTAAAGGTTGCTAAAATATTTTAACTCAATATATTTGGCAGAAATCCTTTTCACAAACACAGAAAAAGGAGACTAATTAAAAATAATACAGAAACATGATTTAAGCAAAATATCAAACAAGGCAAAGGAGCTTAAAATGAAAAGCTAGTTTCCTACTGACATTTTCCACTTCTAAGAGACAACTAGTTTTTAAAGAAATTTTAAAAATAATTTTTATTGATTTCAGAGAGAGAAAGGAGAGGGAGAGGGACAAAAACATCAATGATGAGAGAGAATCATCAATGGGCACACCCCCCACTGGGGATCAAGCCTGCAATCAGGCATGTGCTTTGACCGGAATCCAACCATGACCTCCTGGTTCATGAGTCAACATTCAACCACCAAGTCACGTCAGCTGGGCAAGAGACAACTAGTTTTAACTGTTTTAATTTCTATTGCTTTCTGTAGTTACTTTACATCTCTTAATAATCCTATCTAATAAAAGAGAAACATGGTAACTGGCATACGACCGCTACCCTTCCCGTTGGCTAATCCGGGAGATATGCAAATTAACTGCCAGCCAAGATGGCGGCCGGCAGCCAGGCAGCTTGAAACTAACATGAGGCTTGC